ATAAAGTTTGAGTTTTAATTTCATATAAAATACCTCTTAAAATTATTTATGAAACTTCTTTAATAAGCATCAAACTTTCTTACCGTACCCTGTAACTCTTTCTAAACGTCTTGGGTATATTGAATCCACTGTGAGAGATGAAATTAAAAATTCGTGATTATATCTTTTTGCTTTTTAAAGTTATATTAACAGTTATTATGATTCAAAAATTTTTAGTGAAAACTGATTTTTATCAACATCGATTCACAAATTTTTTACGGCAAAGAAGAATATAGTAAAAGAGCTGAAATTAAAGTACTCCAGTTTAGAGTTCGAGTAAAGCTACCATAAAGAACGGTGCTCGAAGTGGCAGAGATAGCGGAGAATAAATGTATCCAAGTTATGAAGATAACGGATAATTTAAGGTGGCCAAAGAGGCAGGAAAATAAAATAATTCCTAGTTTCATTCATCCTGATTTTATGATATCAAAAAGAATGATATTTAGATAATACAAAATAAACTTCAAAGCCGCATAAACAATACCTACATATGTTAAGTTCCAAAAATTCATCCATCCTCTTATTCTGCAAAAGTTTATTATAAAGTAACAAAAAAAAATTTCCCAAACACTTTGAATATAATTTTCCAAATAAGAGAACAAGCGTGAAAAAGAAGCTAAAGTAAAATGCAACCCTTTCTGGGGCGCTACAGGGTCAACGGTTTAATAAACGGAGAGTACAAGCAGAAGGATGTACCCGGGCAAGCGAAGTCTGTCCTGTAGGTAGAAACTTTCAGCCGTATCGGTTAAACAAAACAGAAAGGCTGGACCCGAATGCATGCATCCTTAACAAATTATTCCACCCCCAAGTTCTCGAGGCACGCGCGGCAACGTCCTGCATAAATCTACAAGAGAGTACAACACAACGTACACGACAGACCCCTGTCGCCGCGAATCAATCTTCTCGATGTTCTTCGTCAAAGGGAACAGGGTTCGCAAAGTCTCGTTCTCGAGAAAACATTCTCAATTGGTACACAACTTCTACCCTCTGAAGACTTGCAGCTTTGTTCCGGACAGGTTTATTGGGATTCAATTGTTTTCGAATGATTCCGGGTGACTGCAAACTGATTTTAATTGTACGAAAAAGAAAGTTATGGTAGTTTGATGAAAATTTTCGTATTGGGAAGAAAAGAAACATTAACGCGGTAGGGTTTACCAAAAATTGGTACTACAATTTTAACGTGATTCAATAACTGTAAAGTGTTAAATAAAATTCTGAGTATACTCTAAACCGTACGCACCTAAACCTTAAAAATTTGTATTAGGACGATCATAATTCGTTTTACGACCTAATATCGTGTAAAGAAAATTAATGTTAAGGAACTATTCGCACGTACTCTCGTATACTCCTTTATGACTCTTGTTCGTCAAACGTCATCTTTTCAAAGAGTCAGCTGAAACGTGTAGCGAATGATGATTTCCTGGCTATTACGTTTCGTATCAAGCGAAAGATTGAACGAAAATAATCAAAGTTTCTGGCAGAAGAATATAAAATGTTATCGCTAATTATAATCTTATAATTAATTTTATCCAGTAAATCAATAGGATTCATTGATAAGATGAAATCCATTATACAGTATTGTTTCATTTGCAATTCCTATTCCTTCTTGGAATTTTTCTGTCGGAAGTTCTGCCAGAAAGTTTGATACGCTGAGATAAAGAAGAGCATTTGACAAAGTAGATTCGCATATTTTAATTGCATTAGCAACTCAATGATTAGTAACCAATTACAATGGAATTGAAGAGACAGATTTCAAGCTTCTTCGTGATTAACAAAATTTTAACCAGCAAATCTGTGATTCATTCGTTTGTTTCCTTTACTCCGCCAACTTTAACGAGTTTTTGCTTCTCTAACTTTTTTCTTCTTTACACTTTTATAATTCCATCATTCCTCATTGATGAGTACACATGGCCGAAACTCGCGTTGAAACTTTCAACGAAGCGAGTTTCTATGGTGTACAACTTTTCGATTTCAAACGTGACCCGTGTATAACGCCACGGCTACTCGATGGTATACACCCTGTCGTCGTGTTCAGCTTGTATTTCGAAAAACTTTCGAACTATACGAACTTTTAACAGGACAGCAACTTTTCATGCACTCTTAGACGCTCCCATCTTTTTTAAACTGTTCCTATGCAAACTTGGAGCCGATCAAAAAATTTCGTGGCTAGGAAAACCTTCTGAACAGGCAAAGGACAATATTAACCCTTTAAAGCCAGAGTTATTTGCCAAAATTGAAATTCAAACTCAATAAATAACAATATCACGCATTGAGGAATCTTTCTCAGTGATTCCTATGCCCTTGCACAAACGACGAAACTACAAATGAATATTAACTCGAAAATTTATGCAACGCGAAGAGAAATGTCATTTGACGACGAAAATATTTCCACGTTATGCATTGTAAAATTGTTTGTATTCTGCGTCAGGTTGTTCGTACAGGTAATTAGACTCGTGTTGTTAATTAAATCTGATATGTCTGTGTAATCGTATACGTGTGGCACGTGTTTTATTTCGTTTTATTTTTGTTGAGAAATATTTGAGCATCAACAAATTTAATAATATTATTAAATTGTAGGATTTCCATGAAATTATTAAAAGAATGTGGTACTCTACAAGTGCGATGGAAAATTTATACTTCAATTAATTACCGTTTTTGCTTGTCGAGGAGAAATTGCATTCCTGTTTTTGTATATTTCATTCCACTCTATCCATATTTCATAATATGAATATATACAATAGAGAACTTGACGAACATTTGAAGAAGCAAACACAGTGATAGTGATCCAATTCTCCTGTTCGACAAACATCGAGAAACCCACTATCTGAATCATGTCGAGTGAAATTCATCGACACCAGCTACAGAGTGAATTTGCGATGCAAATGTTCAAGTGTATCTTTGTCTTTTGCAATAAAGATGACCCAAAACGAATGGTACAAGGTCTGACAGAAGTAATTAAACAACTTCGATTAGTTACCATTTCTGTCATGGATTGTCGTGTCAATATTTCGTTAATAAAATACGAATAGTTTTTTATTCATTATTTAACACCTTTCCAATGACAAGAATAAATTTTTAGGTCATATCAATACTCTTCTTTAGTTCAAGATATTTCTTATTCATACAGTTAATAATGATCCGCTTTTGTGTCGAGTCCATACTAATTAGTGGACTGGTAATGAGAAGTGAAATATATATAGAGCAATAATTACTTAAAATAATTTGAGCGTAGAAAATCACCTCCTTACAAAGTTAATAAAATAATTCTCCACAACGTTAATTATGTTACACTTGCATTTATAATTATTAAATTGATCACTGACTATCAAGGATCACTTAAATGATAAACCTTCTAAAGAAAAAAAAAAAAATATAAGGATCTTATCTATTATAGACTCAATTTAATTGAACTATCAGATGGAAAGTTCTGATCACTGCTATATTTGTTTAATATTTTTTTATAACTAGCGTGTGTTCATTAAAACTTTGAACATTTTTCGAAATTACTTTTAGTAATAACGAGGAAAGAAAAGGGCAGATAGCAAACATGATACCAATATGAAAGGAAACTCTTGTAGGGAAAAGAAGCTTAAAGAATCTGCTATCATTAAAAGAAACCTTAGACAATGAAGACTTATTGAAAGAATTCTATACAGAAAAAAACATATTCTATCTAATGAATGGATCGTGATAATTTATACTGAATAGAAAGGAAAAATAAGAAAAACTGTTTGAATGAACTTTGGTAGATGAGGTTATTAATTTTCCATCGGAACTGATAATACTTCCCCTTTCTATTAGTACATCTGCTTTCAGACTACCCTTGCAATACCAAACAAGTGTTTTTAACATCCAAAGGAAACGAACACGGACACTCTTTCTCCACCATTTTCGATCTTTAATTACGACTTCCGATGAAGTCTGCGAACAATTACGAAGCCAAACAACATTTCCTGACATTCGCTTCGTAGGTCCATCCTTCTTTCGCTTCTTCTTCTTTTATGGCTTGTCATCGTTTCAATGCTATTCATTGGATCGACAATACGTGTGAATCCAATGGTGCTTTTCTCTTCAACGACGTTCTAACTATAGAAACTTCTCTTTTTAAAAGAAAGAACGAGTGTCTTGTTTTCGTACTAACGAACGTCCTGATAAAGATGGAACATCGATTTTCTCTTCCTGTTATCAGTGATTGCGAAAGAGGTTTACATGGACACGTTAATTTAGAGAAAAATAATTTTGATGCAAAAATTCGATTTGCAACGAGACATTTTTTTAGTATGGGTATCGCACACGGGAGAAGGATTAAAATAATTTATTGGAATAGTTTACGTCCTCGGTAAAAATGAACCATTAGAATCTGAAAGATTCACCGAAAGCATCGACTGTTCGTATAAAAGATTAAAGAAGAAGCTAACCCATTGGATATAAAAAGAAAATTACTAATCGGTTGTCCAATATGATACGGTTAAATTTTAATCGTTACGGTCGTATGAAAAAATATTCCAGGATTATTTTTAACTGAAAATATGTTTGAAACTCGCACGGTGGTACTTTTCAATAAGCAAATCGATAAAGAAGCCGCAATATATTGCCTACGAGGCATGTATAACGAATTAACAACCTTTTGCAAGATGGATGAGCGCGAATGTAATTTAAAAAAGCATCAGTTGTGAATGGAGTTTTCAGCAACCGAAAGGTTTTTTGAAAAAAAAAAAAAAAAAAAAAGAAAAATACGTCTTATTTCATATGCATTCTGAATTATACGCGATCGAAAAATGCTTTAAACTGTTACTTATAGCAGACTCATAACTCAGCTCTCTGTGTTTAGAAGCATCATTTTTTAAAGTAACCGAGCAAAATATGTTTCACACCGCTGATTTGCATACTTAATGGAAGTGCCTAGATTTAATCATTTCGATCATTAACGTACGTTATCGTAGTTAAAATTAAAAAATTACCTTACCAGCCTTCCTCGCGTAATAGAGCTGCGGCTGCAGAGGTGACGGTGCACGCAATTGCAGTGATGCATGGCGAGCATTAGGCAGACTTTGCATAGACGCGGAGAAGCATACGTATACGTTGAAGGTTCGAAGCTGAGTCCTACAGAATTTCAGTTCCATACGGCAGGGTGTGTACACACGTTGCTAACACCACTTACCCAACTTACACGTAACATTTCACCCTTCCACAAGCCTATGACCTCCCAAGAGGCTCATACCTCAAGGAACGCGAAAGCTTTCGCTTATGGATACTGGCACAACGCATTCGATATCGAGCTGTCTTCGAACCTGTGCATAACGAGAAGAAAATTCACGTTAATTATAAATTACAATGTAATTTGTAGCAACCTAAAAATTTTTCATTTCGAGCAGAACATTTTGGATAAAATTATAAAACAAATTCGAATACCTTCCATGAACCAGTGTAGGTGTAAGAAAGTGATAAATAACCCAGGAAAAATAAAGCTTCAAATGATAAGGTTATCAGAATAAGAAAGTGCAAAGGAGAATGATAGAACACAGTTGCGTTTGATGAAGTGCCAGGAAGAGAATAAATACAACCAAGAGGTGTAGACAATGTTTTAAAGAAATGGTGTAAGAAATTAAAGAAGAGGAATGAATAGGAGGTAAGGTTTCATAAATTGCACCCGGTGGAAATTAAGTTGCAACAGATCATAGTCTCTAGGGAAGAAAGAAAGCAGATGAATGCTATACAGAATGTACAATTTTATGGAAAATATTCTGTTACCGTGAAAAACTTTTGTACGACGTTCCTAATATTTTATTACTAGAAATCATTTTTCATTTATTAATTTATAAACGATTAATGACATTACCAAATAAATATTATTTGGCTATTAGATACCGCAACCGATGATTCATTGATGCAACAAGGGTATCGAGGAAATATATCATTTAACAGTTAAGGCGGTAGAATGAAATTAACGTTAAAATTAATATCTTCGTTGGTTAGCAAGATATTAGCGCCTCTTGTATCACGTAATTCAGTTTATAACTTCCCCTCTTCGTACTAATTTACGTCATTTTAAGTCGCAGAGAGAACGGTTGTTGTAAGCTGAATCAGGTAGGTAGAATGCAGATCGGGTGTAACTTTCTTGAAGTAGAATTAATGATAATAAAATACAGTCAACTTGAAAATGTTTTTATAGTATAACGTTTTGAACGTGACAAAATCACTATAATTGGTAAGAACAGGTCTACTTTGCACAATCCTCTAATTCATCTTCAAGAACTTCATCCCTGCTTTTTAATTTTTTAAGCCACTTTTGCCCCGTCTGTTCGCTTACATTATTGCACTCGAAAGGTGTATAAATTTCTCTGACACCCTCCGAAGCTTTATTACCAAGTTTATACACGAACGAATTATGATTCTCGACTTACGTAGATATTCTGAAGTGACTTCAGGCACAAGGGACAAAATGCAGAGAACAAATTTAGAAAAATAAAGATACTTAATTTGGAAAATTAAAAATTATAGTCCACGATGCTGTTCCTTACCGTTCAACTAGAAAATCTCTTGAAATACATCTTTCGAAGTAGACCGGTATTATTGAAATCCAATAAAGTTTTGCCCATTCAACATGTGTAAAGTTTCCTGTTGCAGCCACAAGCTCCCACGAGTCAGCTTAGACAAGTATTTACGAAGTTCATAAAATTCTATTGAGTTTCTTTAAGCGTTGAACGCGATCGCGGATACTGTTGACGATGTACTTTATACGACTCCCATTGCGCTCGCTTTAACTGCCAAATTATAAGCTGCCTAGATGTATAAGTTAAAACCGCGAATAAAATATTTATCCGTTAGAAACTCTGATATTCCCCTTTCGTTTTTGCATTCGAAAGAGAATGAAAAATCAGGATAACGTAAAAATAACACAGAGAATAGCTGCCACTTTTCTAAAAATGTGTGGTCTTTTTGCATAAATAATATATCTATTTGTGAACATTATAACGAGGAAATTTTTCAGTGTGAAATTAAATAACATTGAATAAACTTCAATGAAATGTACAGAGGTGAGGACCTCTATTTAACCAAACAAGCTCGATTTTGATAAGCCGTGAGCGCAATGCAGTTTATACTGTCCACAAGAACTGATGCTCATTTACATTTTTATTAGGCAAATCGCGATTATTCCACGTAATTAACGTTCCAACGTTTATCTAAGGTATATAATTTCGCGGAAATGTAAATTTAATCCCCTCCTCGTTTTATAAACAGTATAATTATTCCTCGTACGTGCGCGTTTCATATCGCGGATTAATGGGTGACAATCTTCGCAGAAATGAATCCAATGAACGTAAAACGATAAAAATTCATACATCTGTCGTTTCAACGTCTCCTCTCTATCAGAATAATTTTTCAACTTATACGAAACGTAAATCGTGAGTATAAATAATGCGAAATAGTATCGACTGGATGTCGTAAATAATGCGAAACGTTGCAGTGTCGTGTTTAATGCTTCATCGTCTCGTTTCTACGCGATGCTTTTATTTCCATCCTATCTGAGAGTGTTTTATCACATGCTTCGTTAGGTATATCGTTCGAATGAAATTCATTTATTGGTGGCCGAATAAACGGTATTGACCCTTTGTACTAAGAGTGATTTTTACATTATGGAGCCTGGAATACATTTACTTCGATTAAGGCTAAAACCATCCGAACCGAGTGTATATTTAATTTTACTATGCCTTTAAATTGAAGTCGAAATAAAGTTTCACTTTATCACTGAAATAATTAATTAAATGAAATACCTTTCAAAGCGTTCCCCGAAGTTTTTCTTTTCAAGAAGATTTTTTCAAATCCTTGCAAAATTAATTTATTCAAATTATCTAACTTTTGACTACAGGTCATAAAAGTCAATCCACTTAAGTATTACGATAACAATTAACAGTTTTGCAATTTTGCAGCAGGTGATATTGCGCCTGGTTAACTCTCCTCGTAAAGGAGTATGGCAGACTTAAGTAAATTTCGTTTGAATTATTCATATCCAAATTACAAGTGCAATTGAACAGAATCTTCGGTAGATTGTTTTAACGCTAGAACAACTAGCATTGAAGTTTCAAGACTCCGTATTATTTTGAATAATTAAATCTACTTCCCATACGGCGGACCATGGAGAGAGCCCCAAATCTTATTTAATTTTATATATCATCTTACTTTCAATTTCCAATATAAATATAAAATTAGTCTTTCAATATATGATGTTCAAGGGTTAACAGAACACCCCGTGTTTGCTATTTTCATTGAAAGACATTAAAGATCGCCTGATTTTATTATTATCCAACCGAGTAAATGGTTCGAGGATTCGCAATAGGAGGCTAAACGAATACTAAACATTCTAGAAGGAAATACGTGCATCTGTTGACCTTACGAGTTTAACGAAATGAAAAGGTTTGTTGATGGCTGAGCAGCCTCGTCACCCATCGACGACCTCTCATATTGCACAATGCTGCTCAGGAGGCTCGTCTGAACGAAGAGCATTCCCATTGGTGGAAACGTACATCGTACGATCATCGTGACACTTAACACCACTTGACATCGTTGAATATCAGTGGGAATTGACTGGATGGAACGAGGACACGACCGCTAATTCGTCTGCTTACAGAATTCCCGCTTCCCACAATGAAATTCCTGCTCAATTCCGCAGCAGCGAAACAATCGTCTTCGACGTACGCGTTCTATTTTTGCTTATCGTTTAATCTATCCCTATCGACCGGTTACGTAAACTTTTTCTAATGCAAGGTACGCGAAAGGAAAACAGAAGAATTGTTCAAACTAGTTTTGTCACCGACAAATTTTTTTAAATAAATTTCATTGCTCGTCGAACTATTCGCAAAACATCCCAATTAAGATGGTGGAAATTAAATCAATTTCAATAATTCAGTTTCATGGAATTTCCAACAGAACGTGTACATTTAATTTTCCGTGGTAACAATCGTTTTTCGTGAACATACATGTACCTCTTTCGTAGCGAAAGGGTTAATTGGATTGACCTAGAGGGGATATGAAATGCAGGGAACAAAATCAACTTGCGATAATGAATAATTTTCGTTCTATCCACTGGCTATCGTGTACCTTGCAAATGATTCACCTACGTTTTTGATCATTTATTCAGCAGGAAATTAATAATGGCGCGAGCAATGAAATATTCAATGATCGTCGTGAACACGATTCTCTCGTGTATGCTCATAAAACAGACGTTACTTTAATTCAATTGTATGTATCGAAGTGATTGCACCTGGAAACGCTCATTAAAATAAACATAGCTCAGACTACAAAAGAAAACTTTTAATTATGCCGCGCTCCTGATGCAATTCAATTTCCCTGAAATCGCTTATAATTTGATTGGAACGGTAAAAATGTCTCTGTCATAATAAAATGATAATCACAGTTATTCGTTCAAATAGTTTTAACAAGAGTATAATTATTTATTTAATATCTTTTAGTTTTTATTTATTTATTTATAATAACTAAAGGAAAACTAGTAGCATTTGATCTTGTTGAATAATTCATTTGCAAAGAACGAAAGATTGCATTCTAATTACATTCTAAATATTAGCAAATATTTTTTTCAATTATGGTTTCATTCCGATGCGGAGTCAATAATGAACATTTAACATGAACTATGTAATATCATGTAACATGAAACCATGATACATTGAAATGTATCTAAATTATGTAATTAGTTAATGGGAAATACGAGATTGAATATAATCAACAGCTTTGCAATTTAAATAACCCTCGTATAGACTTCAATTTGTATCATAAACGATATCTTTATTAAATTAAAATTATTCTATTTACGTTGCATTATTTTACTTTCATATGGTTTGCCAATTAAGCGATTATTAAATTCTTTCGAGCCGAATACCGATGAAAGGGGCATTAAAATTATGACAGTTTAATTCACCAATTTACCGAATTAGCAAAATGGAACAGCCGAATCTGGGTTAAGATTCCGCCTTGAAGAAGATATTGAAGATGCGTGGTTTTACGAATCTCATCCCAATTTGATTAATTCATCATAGTTGCCGGCAAAGTTTTAAGACGATCCATAGACCAGCACGGGCCGTCTTCAATTTGTAAATACGATTCACAGACACTCCGTATCTAGGGCATCACGGGCGACGACGACAATATCAACGACGAGAAAGTTAATATCGAATTCGCGACGCGCCGCAGAAATGTTGTCGAAACTTGCGACCGTGTTTTCTTCATTGTCGTGACGCTGCCAATTAATTTAGATCCCAATTTAACAGGGTAACTT